ATGAAAGTAAGCAAGTGGTTGTAACCAAGTTTCATAGGTACCTGTCAGAGAGCTAGTATTGAACTGACCAACATCAAGATCATCTCATGGATCGTTAGCGTGAATGATACCTGATTAAAATGTACTATTTTTGTATCCTTAACACCTGAGATACATAGTACGACTTAATGTAGGGAGTACTATGCTTTGATAATCTCCAAATGTTGTTCTTTAACCGGGTAGTTATAAAAGTCATTTTCAGGTATGGTGTCAACTATACAAGAGGCTTATGTAGTCAAGATGGGATTTGTTTCTCTTATGTGTTAAGAGTTAGACATCTAAGGCGCCTTACCAAAAGTTGAACAACTAATGAGATTGATTGTGACCAGCATCTCATGTTCAACATGATGTATGTAGCAAATAAAAAACTGATACACTTATCATACACACCAATTATAGCTTTGAGCTTTTTGGGAATTGGGCGTTGATAGAATGGCAAAAACAGTCCTATGGTCTTAGGGGCAATGGAATATTGCTAGATGTTCACCACTGTCTATATCAGTCTAATATGAGTCTTGCATAAGTGGGAGATTGAAAGATCTAGTATGCTCAAGAGTCATATTAAAGTGATATTACTAAATAACATATGATACTAATGGGTCACACTAACAACAACTTGATACAATTGATTATTTATTAGAAATTGAGTTTAATAAATATTCAATAAAACTCTTATAATTAAATTGAAAATTATTTATTTCATGGAAATAATAAATTCTATTAGCATGCAACTTAATATATATCATATGGTATGATTTATAAGTCATGTACAAACTTTTGGACTAGTTGAAACATTTTTTCTTTTTCCTAAAAGACAAACTTTATATTTTATAAAAGAGTTTATTAAAGTTTGACTTTCTTTCTTCTTCTTTATGTAATTTTCGAGATATGCATAAAAATAAGAAGTGTATGAATTGTCTAATCATGCTTTAAAGGCATGGGAGACATGCTTATGACAATAGGAACAAGTTTGCTTAAAGTACTAAGGACTAATGGTTAATAACTTCACTTTATGTATATAAATAAGAGAGATTGCACTTCTATTATTTGATCATTCATTCCTTGATGAAAAATATGAATCATCACTTCCCTCTCCCTTTCTCTCTAGCTTTGGTTATAAAATTTGAAGAACATTTGCATCTATAAGCCCTTTTTAAGTTCATATTGGTTATGAACTTAAAGCTTAAGGGTTTAAGAGTTTTGGACTAGCGTCTACATCAAGTTGAGTCATTGTTGGTGTCTCAAGGGTTCCACATTCTTCATCAACTTCCAAGCCTCTCGAGAGGTCCCAAAGAACTACAAAGGTTGTTATTATTCACCTCTTCTTTGGTCGGTGTTTTAATCTTTCTATAACTTTCAAGAAGATCCTTGGTGGATATAAAATGTTTACGCTATTTCAGAAATTAAAGTCTTTCGTTGGCATATTTTTAAAGTTTATGAAACTATTTTTGAATTAAACCCAACAAAATTTGGATGAGCCTACTAACTATAAGGAAACAATGGCAAACCCTGTAACTGCTAAATGGAAAGAGGCAATAGATAGTGGGATCAAATCCATGTATAATTACTAAATTTGGAAATTAGGTTGATTAAGCACCTGGTCTAAAGACAATAGGTTGTAAACGAATTTTCAAGAAGAAAACTTACATGGATCGTAATGTACAGACTTACAAAGCTAGGCTGGTAGCAAAAAGCTTTACTCAAATCCAATGGATTGACTATGATGAGAGTTTTTCACCAGTTTCCAAGATTAAGTTAATTAGGGTAATGCTTTCCATAGTTGCTCACTATAACCATGAAGTATGTCAAATGGCTATCAGTACTGCTTTCCTTAATGGGAAACTGGCTGAGGATGTTTAAATAGCTAAACCAGAGGGTTTTGTGCATACCAAATTCCCTAGTAGGTGTGCAAGTTTAAGAAGTCTATCTATGGACTGAAACAAGCATCTCTAGTTTGCTTCCATGAAAAACTCAAAGACATTACTAGAAAATAGACCTTTAATGACGCGCAAACAATGACACTCTCTGATAGACGACGCGCATTTGTACGTGCCCTAAAAAATAATGTCAGCTTTGCAAAATTTGAAGGATAGAGGGCGCACATTTGTGCATGCCCTAAAATTAGTGTAAGAAAAGAAAAAAAAAGAAATGCGGAGGGCGCCTTTTATAAAGTGTGCGTCCTCTAAATGTGTCGCTTTATATTTTTTTTCCTAAACGCGCGTTTTTAAAAGGGGAAAATGAAATCGTCTGAAATTCTAAAATTTTGAAGAACCCCGCTTCTACCCTTTCTCCTCAGTATCTCCCTTTTCATTCACTCCTTCCTTCTCTCTGTAAACCCTAAGCCATCGCCACTGCCACCGCCATTGAGCCTTAAAAACTCAATCCACACTAGAATCCTACAATAGAACCCTAATAATCCTTTTGAATCAACACATCCTTTTGAATCGGCTCGTATTCCTCTCTCTCTCTCTCTCTCTCTCTCTCTCTCTCAGCCCTAAGCTGCCACCACCAACATCGAACCCGATAAGCTTTAAGAGTTTGGAGTGCATCTAAAAACCTAAGCACACACTTCCGCCATCTCAAGATACCAGTTCAAGATCGAAACACCAATCCCTCTATCCCCACTCAGATCCCACGCACCATTGCCCCTAACCTTCTCCTTCAAAACGAGAGAAACGCTCGATGATTCTTCCTCTACCGGTGGTCCCACCTCCGAATCACTCGAGACTGAAATTTTTGAGGACCGACTCTCGCAGGTACGTTTGTGTAATAAGAGTGGCAAAGGGAAGAAAGTCGACCCATGGAAGAGCATGAAGTATGGGAAGAAATCCGGTAGGAGTTCAGGATCGAGGGAAAACATATACCTCCCACTGGTGCCTTCGAAGGATCCAAATTCAGGTTGAGTTTGGAGTGCGTCTAATGAAATCTGATCATTGGTGATGCAATAAAGGTTCTCTCTCACACTCGAACCCTATATATCGCTTCCTACCCTCCTTCATCTCTATTCTCTAAGACAAAGGATTACAATAAGAAGGATGTGGGTTGATTTGCGTTGGAGATGGCGCTCCTGGAGATGAGCTGCTTCCTCCTCCAATAAGAAGTATGTGGGAGCGATTCTTAATGTATACTGACGTTATCATCTTCACTCTAATTCTCATCTTTTGCATTCCGATTTTATTTAGCCTCTCATAATCGATCTCAAGGTCGATTTTGCATGTATTTTGACTTTAATCAATTCACTTTGACATTTGACTTTAATCAAGGTCACTTTAGTTTGATTATGTGATACTGGTTTATTTATTTATTAAGCAATTCGCTTTCATATTTGGAAATTCAGGGGGTTTGACTCTTTATAGTTTAAAGGAGGCAAGAACCTGTACTAAGGTTCAAATTTAAGGATTTACAGAATTGTGAAGGGGAGAAGTCGATTCACTGACTAGGCAGCGAGACCAACATTTGCACTGGTTCTTTTGGTATTGTTCATTGTGCTGATTGGAATGGCTCTGTAAGTAATACACCTTTTTCCTTTTATTATTATATATGTAACGAGGGTATTTTGGTCTTTTCATTTAAAACTTTACAAACTCCACTACTTTCCAGGATGTTGCAGTGACAATTCTTTTAGAACAAGATTTTCATCTAGAGAATCTCTATGAAAAAACAAGAAGGAAGGTGAAACGACAAGTGTCTCCTTATCCATTTCCAGGCCTTCATCAAATTATAATAATAGGATGCAACAAGCAATTGGACCTCAAAAAGGTATCAAGACACTGATACCTTAACTTTTAAATGAATGCTTTTATTAGAAGTGAAATAGTATAACTTAATGATAAACTTGTTTGTGTTTTCCTACGGTTGGTCCTAGCATGGAATGGAAACCGAAACCAATTTCTCAAAGTCAAAGGTCAATTAAGGTGCCTGTGGTTGTGGTTCCAGTTGAAGCTCATACTCCAACAATAGTTTCTTCTGCATCCTCCACTAATCTTGATTCATAGGAGGATGAACTTGAGAAGAAGCTGAAGGAGTCCCACATTTCAGATGATAAACATGTCATTATCCTAAATCACCTTCATGTTCCTGAAGCCGAAAAACTCGGCTTCTGTTTTGGGAGTTTTGATGCCATTTTTGGTTTTAATAAAACCCCCTCAAACTCAAATGGTCCTGTGGCTGTGACCATGAGTGAAAAGACGTCTGAAGCATCTGAGGAGGCTGATGAAACTATAGAGGATCAAATGCAATCCAGGTTTTTGTTACTTAGGTTGTATTTCATATTGGAGTAGACAACATTTTCTGATAAATGTATGCACTTTAGTGGTTCAGAAATGAAAATGCTGATGGAGAGGAGGATCATCTTGAACAACCTACCACATGTTCATCTAATGTACCCAAGAATTTACCAACAGAAGGTGACATGTCATTGAATGCGGGACCCGAGTGCAGAGAGTCGAAGCAAGAGACTTCTTCTTCTTCTTCTTCTTCTTCTTCTTCACTCCCTACTCCAAGTCATCAATACCCAGCTGTTCATACATCACCAAATCCAAACTTTAGTTTTGGGTTCATGCCACCAATGATTGGAAGCCAAGTTACATCTTTTGAAAACACCAAGTCTCAGGCACACGATGCTTCTCATGTCCCAAGCTTTGTAGTAAGACCCTACCACCCTTATTTATTTATTTATTTATTTATAATCCATTAATTAATTAATTAAAAAAGAAAATGATTTTTTTGAGAAAATTATTTACAGGTTCAGCAACCGTTTGATCCAGCAAGCTATTATGCTCACCTTTATCGTGAGAGTGATGGGCGCATGTCACCTTTCCACTCAACCACAAAGTACAATTGAAATGTTCAACAACCTTCTCACTCTTCTCAAGAGGTTTGTTTCTTAAATGCCAACAAATTTAACCTTATATATGCCTCTATTTACTAATTAATTGAAACCACAGGTCGGGAACTCACTAATGCTATCCACCACCAGTCCAACACCAACAACCGCCACACAAACCGCCGGAGTCATGCAAAGCTCCATATCCGTCACTCAACAACCATTACCTGTTTTTCGGCAGCCACCAAGGGTTCATCTACCACATTACCCTCCAAATTACATCCCATACGGTCCATATTTCTCCCCATTTTATGTCCCTCCACCACCTGCTATCCATCAGTTTTTAAGCAACGAGACATTCCCACAACAACCACAACAAGGCGGCGGAGGCATGTATCTAGCATCACCACCACCAATGGCTACCACCTCTAATTCTAAATACCCACTTCCACAATATAAGCCAGGAAGCAATACAGGGAATATTGGAATGGTGGGAAGCTATGGACCGTATGCTTCAGCTGCCCCTGCTGGTTATAACCAAGTAATTGATTTAACTTTTACATTATGAAGTGCAGATTATAGTAGGATCATCAATTAACAGTTTTTCTTATGATGTCATCACAAAATGAGATTATCGTGAAACAAAATCTTGGAAAATAGATATATTCTAATCCATGTATCATGTTCAAACGATATTGAAAAGAACAAAGGAACAGGAGATCACTTGTATTAGGACCAATAGAGTTTGGTAGTGTCTTCAAAACCCTCTTTACTAGTTATTCAGAGTTATACTAGAAATTATAGTTAGTGACTTATATATGTGAGAGACTGTTGGATTAAGGAATCTAAGGTAATAACTAAATTGGTATTCTGTTGATGAAGAAAAGTAAAGTCCTTTTGGGTTGCCCTCAATAACAAGAAATTGTCTAAATTGATTTTAGAGAGAGATAAATGAATTATTAGTATATTATATGAGTAATATATTAATCACAAATAGTTATAAATAATTTAAAATTAATCGTAATTAATTTGCAATTAATTTTGGGTTAATTTGAATTAATTAAAAGTTGATGGACTATAGTTGTAATTATTCAAAAGTTGAGCAGAAGGCAAATTCTAGAACCCTCCTGCTAGGGATAGTTTTGAAGCTCCTCTTAGAGTCTCCTGGAAGCCTTCATATGTATAATGAATAAACTAGATAATTACCTTATTTGAAATAATATTACTTTATGTTCAAATTGAGTTTTCTAGGTGTTTCCTAATCAGCCATAAATACAGCCTTAAGACTTGAATTTTTTGGCCATTCTTTCTAAGAGATCATAGCCGGAAGATCTTACATCTCCCTTCTCTCATAATTATTCTAAGGTTCTTGTGTTGTGGGCATGAACCATTAGAGGCTTGCATACAATTGAAGCTAGTTTTAAAGATACTACTCTATTTTTCGAAGGGTCTGTTTAAAATAACAAATCAGAGGTATGCAATTAGCCTTGTGAATTTCGATTTAAACTAGGATTAGAGTTTTGTTGTTCAATAATATGTTTCTTCAATAAATTTATGATACAGATCCAAAATTAGGTTGAATGTACCTTTAAGAGATATTCTCCGCATTATTACATGTAAAACACATCCGTTTGTTAAATTTGACCTATGGCATGGGAAAACAAGAGAGAGAGAGAGAGAGAGAGAGAAAGAGAGAGAGAGTGAGAGAGAGAGAGAAAGAGAGAGAGAGAGAGAGATTGAGAGTGTGTGCGTATGTGTGTGTAACATCCCAAAAATTTCAAGGTAAAAATTTCATTTTTAATTCAACCATAAACACCAATTAACATTTCCAATCATTCAAAAGTGTAACAAGGTAAAAACAGTTATCAAAGTACAATGCCAAAATCATAAAGTTGCAGAAACATGGGTGGATGTATTGCAGTGACACCGGACCCTTCCTTTTTGTATTGGTAGTACCCAAAACCATAAACAATAAACCATAAGAACAAAGCTTAGTGATTTCCCCAAAATACGACATACCATACATATCAAACATATAATGGGCCCCGCCCGACATCGATCCCCGCTCTGAATAGATCTATTAGTAATATGAGATGGGTCCCACCTCATCACATTTATCAGGTCCCGCCTGGCATCGAGCCTAACCCGGTATATTCATATGAACATATAAACACATGCAAGAATCATAGAGATAAATAACATACAATATATTTATCACCCCCCGGTATACATATAAATACATAGACACATGGAAGAATCACAAAGATAAATAACATACAATATAATTATCAGTCCCCACCTGGCAACAGACCCCGCTTACTATACATATCAGATATCATACATGTGAGAGTCACACGTGCTATACAACGGACATACCATCGATTCAACAACTCACCTGCTAAAGGATCGAGGTAGTTAATGTTCGACACAAGATACCATTCAATTTCGATTCAAAATACTAATGAATTAAATAATCCATGTGAATAATAATTTCCCATTACTTAAGACTAATGCATTACCACTACTTAATCCTTGCTGATGGTAACAGTCGACATCCTGAGCTTTACAATATCTAGTCTTCCTTGACCAGCCAAGCCTATCGCTTATACATACCAAGATTGGGTGATCATTCCCAATACCTCAAAGAATCTAAAAATCCTTAAGCACTTTCCGCTTAATCCACTACAAGTCCTTGGCGATTGATCGAATGATGAGGACCAACATCTTAGTATGGAACAACTACCCAACTCGTTCAATCATTTACTTGAAGCCAGAACAATCCCCATGCAACCTGCAAATGACCTTGCTTCGAATGTGTGAACTAGAGAACTACCGATCTTACACTCATGACTGATCCAATCCCTAACTACCTTGAAACAATGAACAACCTTACACATCCTGCATTCAAACCCAATATCCCTACCTTGCAGATTCCTTGATTTCAAACTAATACCACTAAAGATCTGACTGGCTTCTGGTCTCCCATGCGGAATACTCATGCCTTGTCTAAACATGGTCCACGGTATGGAAAATGGCCTATGAAAATTTTGCAGATAACATAATATATTACTCATACAAGTACTTCCATTCTTAGATATTAAAGGCATATAATTTTACATTCACTAATACGGAATTATTAGCATAGTGATTTACGCATGGAAGAGAATAATATGAAACATAGCCGTAGTTTCTTAGGGTTCTGCTCCCCCTCCCTGCAGAAACACTCGCAATGGAACCCGAGCTGCTTCAACCACTAAACGCGGCTAATTTTCTCTGATATGACCAGGATGAGGGCAACGATGACACAATTCTACTTCCAGGGTGCATTCTTAGCGAGAGTGGCCCTTCCGTCCGCACCTGCTGCAATTGGAGTTATCGTGCACACGCTCATGCGTTCCTTTACCCTACACATAATTTTTATGGCCCCTCGAGCCTCTAGCATTAGACATGGGAACATCATATTACTTAGATGTTGCTAGCAGAGTTGAATCATGAGTCCACTTCATCTTCCCTAGTTGCCTCTCCAAACCAAGCTCCTACTCCCGAGTCACCTCTGAAGGGTTTTTGAGCATTTTAACACTCCTAAGGTATACATGCAACACTAAATACCTTCGATATATGGTTTCTCTATTATACATGCAAAATATCAATTTCCAAGGTGTAGTTCTGACTAGCATAATATGAAGCACATATAATATAAATTCTAGTAGAATTACATACCTCTTTATTGTAGCTTGATTCCATGGAGCTTAAGAGCCTAGTGCCTCAAATGTGACACCTCAAATAGTTCACACAACATCACCAACATCTTGGAATAACTTGAGAGAAAAGATTTCTATGCTCAAATTGGATAGCCCTCATGTGTACCCATACTAGTGCTAATTTCTTTAGCCATGGGATCCTTAAATATTGTGGCTATTAGGGTTACACCATGTAACTCATGTATTTCCATATTCTTCATGCTCTATAGGTTAAAACCTCCATGGAGTATCCATGGGTTACTCCATGGGTTTAGCCTAACATGAAGAACTATGGATCATTAGCCCATATATATAAGAATGAATGATTTACATAATCAATCCCCATATATTAAATTAGTCTCCTTTTAATCACAGAATTAATTCCAAATTAATGCTTGATCAATACTAATTAAATAATATAATTTCATATTAATATATTAGAACTTATAATATATTAACAAATCATAAATATCATTTTCTCACAAAAATATATCCAAATTGTTCTGATGCCATGCAACCCAAATGGAGCATGCCAATCGGGTCAAGTACATACCAACTATAGTTATGGACTTAGACACTAATCCAACAACCTCAACCATCCCATCAACTGCCTAAATGGCCAATATCCGATCCTCTAATCTGGCAAACAATCTGCCAGTGGCATGACTAATGATGTCGGGTAACTCCTCGCGCAAACCTTGCGAAATTGCAATGGCAATCCAATCATGGAATCGATCCCTAGGAAGTCATGGTGCATAATCCACCTTCAATTCCTCATTACAAGAGTTAGCAATAGGATTCTCCTCCCTAAATGAGTCTACGACTCCACAAGCCGTGAGCCCCCGATGGTGCCCCTCCAACTACCCTACTACAAAATCGGCTCGAAAATCCCCAAGACGATCGTCCAAGAGTTCCACGATCCCTTCCTTGATTGTACTAAACATCGTAGGAGTTTGTTCCAAAATACCACGAGATATCCAACGAGATGAACTCCCACATCCACTTATCGATTTGCTCAGCACTTGCACCTGAATCTCATCCTTATGTGCTCATCACCATTCTAAAAACCAATCACACATGTGATCAAAACATACCCAAATAATCCTATCCCACTGGCTTCCTAGATTCTCCATGAGTGTCCTCGAGTCAAGTATGAATTCTATGCTTTTAGTAGTACATGCCTAATACTACGTTCCACACCTATGCATACTTTCCCCAATAATCATCCTGAATCCTCTAATTCAACTTGTCAAACTGCTATACCAAGTACTTGCTAAGCAGGGCATCCGAATCCGCTAAAAACACTCCTTAGGCTCTCATAGGTTCCCAACCTCACCCTTCCATCAACTATTGAAGAACTCCTAATAATGTCAATTAACTAATTCATGATTAAAGTCACATGCAACAATGCTTAGATAATCATTCGAGTAAAAGACTCATCCCTGTATTGGTTAGACTCAAATGAGAGTTGCGTAGTGGGTTCAAATTCATTACTATGAGATTATTTAACCTATGCAACATGTTACTTAAGACATTCACTTAACAATTAACTCACATCAACATGAGTCCCATAAAGTATAAAGCAAGCAACATTCATGCAGTGACACTCCAAGTCACAACCAAAGAGAGGACATCTCAATCTCACTTCCTACCAAGAAAGATACCAAATCTAGTATTGTTGGATAAGGTGTCTAAGTCCATAACTATTTCTGGTATGTACTTGATCCGACCCGGCATGGTCCATTTGGGTTGCATGGCACCATGCAATTGGATAGACTAAATGAGAGAAATAACACTTGGAGATTATTAATATTTTATAAGTTCTAAT